AGATGAAATTACGTCATACAAATAAAATAGTGTTGTGGAACGTTGAACAATAATTGGCCCCCTCAAGCCGAGGGCCCGTGGCATTTGCACACATCGCACACATGTATCACACGCCACTGACTGTAGTCATAATTCATCTCACATAAAATGATACAAAGCAGTAAACACAATATATGGTTAAGTATAATACATGCAATTATTATAAAAATAAATACTGTTGTTTTTTTCACACGTCATAATATAATAAAAAATGCATTATTGGGTTATAAATAAGGGGCGATTGTAAGCTCTCCCGATTTTAATGGCATGTAAACTCTCCCGATGGTAAACTCTCCCGGGTTTAGTCCAATACTACCTGACGGGAACATGTAAACTCTCCCGGGTCTAGTTCAGTACTACTTGAAGAGAACATGTAAACTCTCCCGGGTATACTTCAGTACTACTAAGCTAGCGGGGGAGCATGGGGTATTATTCGTTTTACACAGTTAGAATTGGTCGAGCCATTATAGTCGATATCGTTTTAAATATTTAAATTAAAAATACTCGGTAATTAAATATTTAAATGACAAATACAGGTTAACATAAGATAAATACAGTAATACAATTCATAATAAAAATTATAATCACAATCTCTGCAGTGTAGCCAATTCATAGAGTAGCAATAACATTTAAAATAACTCGGGAGAGTTTGCACATTTCTTTCAGGTAAACATATAATATTGACCCGGGAGAGTTTACATATTTCTTTCATGTAAACATAATATTTACCCGGGAGTGTTTACTAGTTTTAAAAATCGGGAGRCTTTACCATACAATCGGGAGAGTTTACCACCGCCCTAAAAAAAGGTGTGATGGGCGCAAATAGTTTGCACCGTATATAGGTAGGTAGGTTGATACTTGATATATAGCCATGGTAGGTGCCTATTTTAAAATATTAAAATCGACATCATCTGCAACACCCGGCTAACTTTCGCGAGCATATTATTTATTTATTTATTATTATTTTTTTTTTAATAATTGTTTAAGGCATCAAAAACAAGGTTATTACCATAGTTCCTCCTCCAGTCCTCGATACCATAAGGAAAAAAAAAATAAAAAAATGGAAAAATTAAAATGTCAGTAAACAGCAAAAAAAAAAAAAAAAAAAGGTTATTAGCCGAGTTTACATGTTTTAAAGAATTTACTTTAAATTAATATTTTTATAATATCATACAAAACACGTCTCGACCATCCAAACGTCAAAAACAATAAAAATGTTTGATCAACAATAATTATTCTTGAATTGTGTACCTGCCCACATTAAAACGTTTTAATAATTTATTGATCATTTACAACAGTATTCCCATATAATCGACGTCGTCGTTTAGTCTGTTAATTATAATTCAGTTAATTACATATAGGTTACAATAGTTGTTAAAAACACTTCTGAATAATAAGAGACCAATTTTAACAACACTGCAAATAAAGTAGACACAATAAATACTATTTAAGGGATTCGTTTATGAGACAGTGYGTTATAACATTGATGTCTCGTCACTCGATTAACACTTGTCACCAAACAGAACTATAATATGACGAAATTTGTAATTTTATTTTTCACAACCAATCTAATAAAACGTAAAAAGTATCTCTCTGTCCTTGAAGAAAGTTCTATGTCGCTTCTGATTTATATTATTGTTGTGTTAACGCTATTTTTGGCATCTATTAACTATTTTAGACGATCGTGGCCTTAGTGCAGATGGCCGTCTTATTTGTAATGCACGTAGAATCATGCAGCGACGAATTCATCAAGGAAACGATAGTTAAAGTCTGTGGAATGGGCGAAATAAGACGTTCATTCCCCGAGAACAGCCATGATACTGACTCTTCGTGGGCACATTATAGAAATTCTAAAGGCATTCCTCGCACTCGCATCGTGGACAAACACAAACCATTAATTGTTGGAGA